CACATGGCTCAGTATGTAAGAGGGATGGCTTTGGAGCAGAATTAGGAAGAGTTCGATTTCTTATCTTTTCTATATGTTTTTTATTGCGGGAAATTCAAATTTTCGGGCCACAAAGCTTGAAAATCGCTCGGATTTGGTGTTTTTTTTAAATTTTTTTATTCGAAAAATGCGAAATTCGTGTTCTTTGAAGCTTCCTTCACTCTCAAATGCCTTTCTGTTTTTTGAGTTATTACTCCCCCGAAAAAAAACGCTCATTTTTGATTTGCAGGTACGAGAGCAATTATCTCATGGAGCTCGGAAACGCAATTGAGTACCTCATGAGCTTTGCGGTTTCCGTTGCCATTCAGCAGACACTTCTTGAGACGGCGTTGGCAGGTGGGGGTCTATAAATTTGAAAAAAATCCTTTGAAAAATCACGAAAAGCAACGTTTTTCTCAATTTATAACCTAAAAATTCGAGTTTCGCGCTATAAAAGCCCTATACACCGCATGAGGGATCGAACTTGTGGGTCTCCTGCTCCAAACTCATCTCTCTTACCGACTGTGCCACCACGAGCGCATGGGCGCCGCAAAGGGGGATGATGGCGCGCGGCGCTCACATGGCGCAGTTGGTAAGATAGAGGACGTTGAAGCAGAAGACACACAAGTTCGATTCCTTTTGCTGTCTATAGTTTTTTGATAGCGGGAAATTTAAATTTTTGGGTCTTATTCCTTGAAAATCGCTCGTTTTCAAGGATTCAGAAGTTTTTTTTAAATAAAAAACGGCGCTTTCCAGGCTTAGTCTCCGCTGTTGCCTGGCCAGTGGCACTGATTTCTGTCTCTTCTGTCCTGGATAACCCATGGAATGTTTGTGTGTCCCGAGCAGCTGAAGTTGGCGAGCACCTGGCCGAAGTGTTGCTCAGCAGATCGCATGGAAAACGTCCAATTACTCTGATAGGATTCAGTTTAGGCGCCCGTGTGATTTTTCATTGTCTTTTAACAATGAGCAAACGATCGGAGAGTTTGGGAATCATTGAAGACGTGATTTTGCTGGGAGCGCCTGTCACCGCGTCTCCCAAGGAATGGTCGAAAGTTTGTAGTGTTGTTAGCGGTCGGGTTATCAATGGGTACTGTGAAACGGATTGGTTGTTGAGGTAAGGCAATTGGAAACTTTCTGAAAGTTAAAAAAAAACACATTTCAGATTCCTCTACCGTACCATGAGTGCTCAATTCCGGATCGCTGGAACTGGTCCAGTCGACAATCGGAATAGTAAAAAAATCTATAACTATAATTTGAGTCATATTGTAAGTTTGTGGGCTTTGTCAAAAATTTTTAATTTTCGAAATCGAAATTTTTTTAATTCAGAAAAACCACACAAAATTAGCAATTTGAGTCGCAAAATACCATTTTTTGTTTCACAAAAATGTTCGAAAAACACTGAAACCATGCGATTTTTGATGTTTGGGACCCGAAAATTTGAATTTTGCTATATCAAAAACCTATAAAACCCCAAAGGAATTGAACTTTTGATAGTTCTGCTTCAAAGTCCTCCCTCTTACCCACTGCGCCATATGGACGCCGCGCGCGCCCCCCACCGTGACGCCTCAGAGAGGGAGATGGCGTGCGGCGTCCGTATGGCGCAGTCGGTAAGAGGAAGGACTATGGAGCAGGTGATCCAAAAGTTCGATTCCATTGGGGTTCTATAGGTTTTTTGTGGCGGGAAATTCAAATTTTCGAGTCTCAAACCATGATAATCGATAGTTTTTGGTGGTTTTTGAGATTTTTTTTCGGAAAATCGCCAAAAATTAAATTTTTAATGGTCTCATGGGCAAACTTCTCAGCTTTCAGGACATTTTAATTCTAGAATCTTTCATTCTTTTCAGGTAAAAGGTCACATGGACTACTCGAAACGGCTCACCGAGGTGCTTCACGCGGTTGGGGTCAAAGTGGGCCCACATTCTGAAGATTCAGTTGTGGACCTCACTGAGCTAGAGTGTCCACATGAGGCCACTGGAGAAGCTACGGAGGCAATTAACTTCAAATTACCCACAGATTTAGAGGGAAATGATGGTGAAGGAGCTCAAAATTTGAGCTCAGAGTTTACAAATTTGAATGGGATTCATGAAATTCGGGTGTTGGATAGTCCACGGATTGGAGAGAATAGAGAGGGGAGCAAGAAGCAGACAACTGTTTGAAATTTTTCAGGATTTTTTTTTTCTTTTTTTTGCATTTTTTCTGTATTTCTGACACATTCCAATTATCAAAATTAGTCCCGGTAGTAAATGTTTTTTTTTGTTTGTACGATTTATTTTTTTTAAAGATCATAAAACATTTTTTTCAAATTTTTTATGTCAACAGTTTTTTTCATACATTCTGTAGAACATTTTTACTGAAGTGGAGTGCAAATAGACAAATTTTTTCGAGGAACAGACACATGGAACAGGTAGAAATTTGTAAAAAAATTAAATTTTATTTTTCAAAAAAAACTTTCAATAGTTTTTCTTTGAATAGTATCAAAGTGTAAACAATCAGAGTTTCCCGGAATTCTAGAAAATTCTGAAATTCGAAAATTTAGGAAAACTCACAAATCTCGAGAATTGAAATAAATCGGATACCGTAAAGCCTGCATTAAAAGGGATCCTCTAATAGAAGGACCCTCTGAGAGGAGCTCGGCAAAATAGAAGGGCCCTCTGTGAAAAATGACCACCCCCCCCCTCCTTCAAAATGTGTTTTAAAATCAGAAAATTTTCGTAATTTTGTCAGTGGGAAATATTTCCGAAACTTCACGATTTCATAGAAATTTGTTTAAAACCCTTATTTTAAATGAAAACCTTGCTAAATTTTTGTGAAATTGGCACATTTTTATGAATTTTGAACGAAACTACGTCGAATTTTTCGAATTTCGGAAAAAGAAACTGGCCGGAAAAATAGAAGGAGCCTCCTTTAATTGGAGGGCCCCTGTAATAGAAGGGCCCTCCGGAGGTACCTCGGAACAACAGAAAGGTTTAACGGTATTCATAAAATCCAATAATCGAAATACCCGAAGATTTAATTCAAAAAATTCCAAAAAAAGCAGAAATTCAGAAATTTGCAAATTCCGAAATTGTGGAACTTCTGAAACTCAGGAACTCGGAATTTTTGTAATTCGAAAATTCAGAAATTTCCGAAAATTTAGAAAATCCGGAGATTAAGTTTAGAAATTCAAAAGTTCAGAGAATTTAAAAATAATTTATTAAATTTTATCTATCAAACTTTTCGCAATATTC